TTTTTAAAAAATATATTTTATTGATTTTTTACAGAGAGGAAGGGAGAGAGATAGAGAGTTAGAAACATCGATGAGAGAGAAATATCGACCAGCTGCCTCCTGCACATCTCCTACTGGGGATGTGCCCGCAACCCAGGTACATGCCCTTGTCCGGAATCGAACCCGGGACCCCTCAGTCCGCAGGCCAATGCTCTATCCACTGAGCCAAACCGGTTTCGGCGTCCTAGGCCTTCTTGACATGACTCCATTAGTTGAGCATTTCCTATCTTTCTGTCACATCAGAAGTCTAGGCTCACTTACACTTTCCCTTTCCCCAGACCTGGAATCAGACATTCCCCCAAGATCCCCATTCCCTTTTAGTGGGGGATATTGCATTTATGAGGAATCATTTTCCTGGTCTCTTCTACATGCCAGCCCTCTAAATGTTTGAGGCCAGTTATTTCTGTCTCATACACCTCCCAAAACTTCTACACTTAGGCTAAATTCACCTGATTCCTTATATTGTCTCCTATAACTTAGCTTTGATCTTTATCCTACTCTTCTCTTTCATATTGCCTGTCCCAACTCAGCTGCTATTTTCTATTCCAGGGGTTCCCAACCTGACTATACATCAAAATCACTAGGGAACTTCTTTCATGTATAGATTCCCAGGATCTACTCACTCAATGCTTACTGAATGAGAATATCTGGGAGCATGGGACTCTGTGTGTATGTTTTTTAAGCTCCCCAAGTGATATCAACTACTGAACACTTTGATTTTTCGAGGGCTTGTGGACCCAGAGTTGAATACAACATCAAAAGTACAGTTTAGAGTTACGACATTTTTGAAATATTGGACACTACAATTCTTTCAATGTAATTAAATCAATGCTGACATTTTGAGGGAAATGGAGGCAATAACATAAAAATTTTGACTCATGGAGAATTTGTGAAGAATTAAAACCTTAATACTTTTCAAATATATTGTTGTCACATCTCCCCACTTCATGTTCAATTTTTCTTTCAGACTTAAGTGTACATAAGGATTTACATTTGTTCCAATTAAACCTCATATTGCTTTATTCAGTCAAACCTTAAGTATGTCAAAGGTCTTATGGATCCTGATTGTATAATCTTAAGTATTTTTTCATCCTTCCAACTTTATGTTACTCACAGTTAAGTATGCTGTCAAAGTTCTCTCTCTTACATTGTCTTTTTTCCCCCATTACTATTTTTTTAAGTATTAAAAATATCAATTTCACAAACTTTTCTGATTGTAGTGGTGGTCACATAACTGTATGTTTGCGAAAACTCATAGAATCATGCACCAAAAAGAGTGAATTTTAATGTATGTGAATTATACCTGAAAAATATCAGCCTTATACTTCAAATATTTAGCTATATTTCCCCCCCAGATTAGGTCTCATTAACTTATTTTTGATTGACAAATCCTGCAAAATGTATTGCTATTCTAACTAATGGCAGTTTCATGAATTTTGTATTTTTATTCATTGAGATAAATGCATTCTAGGGTTTGATACCTTGCAAAAGCATCAGGGTTCGGTTTACCAAGCCAGTCAACCCAATGAATGAATGAATGATCATCATTTTATCAGTTCCCACAACATAAAATGCAAAGAAAAAGTTATAGAATGTGGAATAAGGAGAAAATAATATTAGAAAAATTATAATCCTTCACAGAACGGGTTTTTAAAAAATTAAATTCTTGCCTAGGAGTGGAAGTTAAACAATTTTCTACTGGTAAGTTTGGCAAAGATTTTAAAAAATACTTTTTAAGGCTGATGAAGATCTTGTAAAACATACTGTCACAGAGTGATTAAGAGACTTAAGTAATATAAGCCATTTGAAACTATCTAATAAGAACTTAAATAATTCAATTAGAATACATATATACTAATAAATAAAATCTAGAAGAAATTACACCAAATTTTTAGCAGTAGCCAGCTATCTCTAGCTGATAAAAGGCAGACTGTTTTGTTTTTCAAAATTTTAAAAAATATTTTTTAAAATTTCTACAATGATTCCATGTTAGTTTATAATTAGAAAGAAAAAAAGCAATACATGCTTAGAAAAACACCAGTAAAAGAAAGGGGAGGAAAATAAACCACAAAAGGGAGGAAATAGGGATATAATAATATTTTGTAAGGATTTAACAGTCACTGATAGGAATTCTCAAAATAAAATTCTATATAATAAAAGCCTAATATACTGTCTGGTCATCCGTTCAACCAATCAAAGCGTAATAAGCAAATGATATGCTAAGGCCGCTCAACTGCTCACTATGATGTGCACTGACCACCAGGGGCCAGACAGTCAACCGGTTGACCAATTGCTATGACATGCACTGACAACCAGGGGGCAGACACTCCGACCAGTAGGTTAGCTTGCTGCTAGGGTCTGGCCGATCAGGACTGAGTGAGACGGGCTGGAGATGCCCTGGAGCCCTCCTTGGCTGGCCAACCTTCCGCGTCCCCCCCCAGCCCCGATTGTACACTGGTGGGGTCCGTCGGCCTGGCCCTCTCGCAATCTGGGACACCTCAGGGGATGTTGGAGAGCTGATTCTGGCCCCATGGCAGAACAACTGGTCACTATGACATGCATTGACCACCAGAGGTCAGTGCGCTCCCATAGGAGGAGTGCCACTCAGCCAGAGCTGGGCTCACAGCTGGTGAGCACAGTGGCGGTGGTGGGAGCCTCTCCCATCTCCATGGCAGCGCTAAGGATGTCCGAATGCTGACTCAGGCCCACTCCCCACGGCCTAAGCCGGCATTCGGACATCCCCTGAGGGCTCCTGGACTGCGAGAGGGCGCAGGCCAGGCTGAGGGACCCCCTCCCCCGAATGCACAAATTTCATGCACCGGGCCTCTAGTATCTTATAAGTAGTTAATAATTTTATTAAACCTGGACTCAGAAAACTATAGGACACTGAAAAAAGGGATAGAGGACAACATAAACAGATGGAAGAACATACCATGTTCATGGATTGGTAGAATCAACATCATTAAAATGTCCATATTACCCACCCAAAGCAATATATAAATTCAATGCACTCCCCATTAAAATATCAACAGCATATTTCACAGACCTAGAGTGAACTCTCCAAAAATTCATCTGGAATAAAAAAAGACCCCGAATAGCTGCAGCAATCCTGACAAAGAAGAACAAAGTAGGTGGGATCTCAATACCAGATATCAAGCTGTATTACAAAGCCACAGTTCTCAAAACTGCCTGGTACTGGCATAAGAACAGACATATAGATCAATGGAATAGAATAGAGAACCCAGAAATCGACCCAAACCACTATGCTCAATTAATATTTGACAAAGGGGACAAGGGCTTACAATGGAGTCAAGACAGTCTCTTCAATAAATGGTGTTGGGAAAATTGGTCAGATACATGCAAAAACAATGAAACTAGACTACCAACTTACAACACACAAAAGTAAACTCAAAATGGACAAAGGACTTGAATGTAAGACAGGAAACCATAAAAATCTTAGAGGAATCCACAGACAGCGAAATCTCAAGACATATGCCGAAGCATTATCTTCACTGATACAGCTCCTACGGTAATGGAAACTAAAGAGAAAATAAACAAATGGGACTACATCAAAATAAAAAGATTCTGCACAGCAAAAGAAACCATCAACAAAATAACAAGAAAGTCCACTGCATGGGAAAAGATATTTACCAATGTTATCTCCAATAAGGGTTTAATGTCCAATATTTACAGGGAACTCATACAACTTAACAAAAGGAAGATAAACAACCCAATCAAAAAATGGGCAACAGACCTAAATAGACACTCTTCAAAGGAGGACATAAGGAAGGCCAAGAGACATATGAAAACATGCTCAAAACCACTAATCATCCGAGAGATGCAAATCAAAATGACAATACGGTACCATTTCACACCTATCAGAATGGCTATCATCAACAAATCAATAAATGATAAGTGCTGGAGAGGATGTGGAGAAAAAGGAATCCTTGTGCACTGCTAGTGAAAATGCAGACTGGTGCAGCCACTGTGAAGAACAGTATGGAGTTTCCTCAAAAAACTAAAAATGGAACTCCCATTTGACCCAGTGATCCCACTTCTAGGACTCTATCCAAAGAAACTAGAAACACCAATCAGAAAGGATATATGTACCCCTATGTTCATAGCAGCACAATTTATAATAGCTAAGATTTGGAAACACCCTAAGTGCCCATCAGCAGATGAGCAGATTAAAAAACTGTGGTACATCTACACAATGGAATACTATGCTTCTGTAAAAAGGAAGGAACTCCAACTATTTGCAACAGCATGGATGGACCTGGAGAGCATTATGCTAAGCGAAATAAGTCAGTCAGTGAAAGATAAATAACCCATGATCTCACTCATTTGTGGAATATAACAAACAACATAAACTGATGAATAAAAACAGATCCAGAGACAGAGAAGCATCAATCAGACCATGAAACCTCAGAGGAAAGGCAGGGGAGGGGAGGGGCAAGGGGGAGAGATCAACCAAAGGACTTGTATGCATGCATATAAGCATAACCAATGGACAAAGACACCAGGGGGGTGAGGGCATGAGTGGGGGGCGGGTATAATGGGGGTGGGTGGGTAGGGACACATATGTAATACCTTAATCAATAGAGAAAAAAAAATTATTAAAATATTAGAGGCCCGATGCACAAAATTTGTGCAAGAGTTGGCCTTTCTTCCCCTGGCTGCTGACACCTGGGACCTAGGCTTCCCTCCGGCCTCCAACAGGCACCCGGGACCTGGGCTTCCCTCGAAGCCCTGGCTTCATCCAGAAGGATATCTGGTCTAATTAGCAAATTACACTTTTATTATTATAGATTTTGTTCAGAGAAATTTCCCTGTAAAGCATCTTTAATGGCATAGAAAATTCAAATATACAGTAACTCTAAAAGGAATACATGCATTGTTTCCAAACAATATTTTTCAAATGAGAGCTTTATGCAGAATTATTAAATATTTTAAGTTCATACCTTGAAGAACGATGCTCTGGTTTATTTCGTTCGTTGCGATCTGTAAAGTAAGAAGATAGTTACATGCCAAAATGCTCTTTAGAAGCCCTGGAAAAGTTCTTAAATACCAGCTCCCATACCATTATATTTCATAAGAACTGCTCAAAGGTTGCTGTGTCTTCTTCTGTGTAAGGCTGTTCATCAGAGTTAAGAGGGTTTGTCTGACAGAAGAGGTAGAAAGGACACAGAGAAAGACAAGCATATACAGTTTTCATGGTTGTTTAAAACTTGGAAAATATATCACTTGGAACTTGTCTACTTGGAAAATATATCATTACGTGTATTATTTCATTTCAAAGATCTTTGCTCTTTTAAACACTTTGCAAAAAACCAAAACAAATTTAGCTAAAAGAAAGTAAGGAAATTCAAAAACCACAAATTACTCAGCTCCAAAAAATCATTCCATGAATCATGGTTGGCAAAAACTTCTAACAGGATGAGGAGGGGAAAAAACCAGCAGTCAGCTACAGCAACATCTGCAAATACACTAAGACCAGTACAACCTCATCCTTAACTCTCTATCACCCAGAGCAAGTTGGATTTCAATGTTTGAAAGATAATTAAGTCTAATGTGCCTTAGGGCAGTGGTTTTTAACCAGGGGCAATTTCACAGTCCATCCTCCAGAGAACATTTGGCAATGTCTGGAGACATTTTTTTTTATTGTCACAGCTAGCATCTAGTGGGTACAGATCAGGGATGCTGCTAAACTTTCTATAATGCACCCTACAACAATCATCTCATCAAAATGTCAACTGTGCTAAGGTTGAGAAACCCTGCTTGAGGGTAAGAGACAAAAGCTGACTGCTTAAAGTTTTCAAAAACTGCCTCTTTGGGATGCTGTAAAATGTTATCAATCATCTTTAAGACTATTATACATAAGATAAAGAACCACAAAACCCACAGGCTGTCTTTTTCTACTCTGAATAACTTTTTTTTTTTCAATACATGCTCAAAAATAAATAAGATCAGTGTTAAGGGAAAACTAACAACAGAAAGTAAAGCGTAAGCCACAATAAAATCCTATGCAATGTTGTCAAAATATAGTTTTCTAAAGTATCTTCTAAATTATTACTAAGATAATAAAATTTAACCCTAAAAGAAAGAGTAGACAGGAATTCTTTTGTTCCCCTTAATTTTATTGCTGGTGGAGCAGCATAAAGATAATGAGAATATACTATAAAACTTCTGGAGAGAATTATGTAAGAAAAGGAATCAGATTTACATAGGTAAATGTATATATCGATTCTTTCTGAATGGCTCATGATAATTAAGAAATGTTTTCTAAACCAAAAAGTCAGTACACAGGAAAACACTGTTGTCTGAAAGACTAACAAGGAGGAAGACTCGTAATAAAACATGTTTGTTTAGATATAATGCTCTCCCAAATGCACACTGTTAATATGCTTCTGGCTCCAATTTCTCTTGACTTATTGTCACTGCCACTTTTAAAACTTTTGTTTTAATTTAACTTGGTTTTACCCTGCCCTTAAATAAAAATACCAGGGTTTTTCACTGTTGAATATTAAAAATTTAGTCACAGAAATACAGCACACATTTTAACCATATTTTCAATCATTCCTCTTCAGCTGTCAGCCTGCTAGTTTTGCTAACGAAAGTAAAGTATAATGTCTCAAAGTAAAGCTAGAAACTGGGTGCAGATCAGATAACAAAGCAACAGCTCTTACCTGTGGCTAACGATGAGCTCAAAGTCTGCCCGTAATACCATTTGTTGTGGCTGTGATCCTAGTTTCCTACAGTTTACTCAGGCATTCAATCCCAAACTCCCCCACCCCCCCCAAATCTTCCTAGTGGTACAGCACACAAGAGGAGGGGAGAAACAGAGTCACAATGCGTGTAAACAAGACTCAGCATCTGAGGGCTTCCCTGAAGGGCCTGTTCTGATTGGCAGATGTGCTATGACCAGTCTGCACAGCTGGAATGCGGCCACTCAGGAAGCAAATGGCTCGTAGCTCTCCTTCATTCTTGGTTAAAAACAGGAAAGTTTATGACATTTTATACTTTCTGAATTAAGAAACTACAAATGCCTCCCCACAGTACTTCTCTACTGAGCTAGTAATTAAAGTCCAAGAAAATAAGTTGATAATCTGTTGAAGGACATTTTAAACATTTCCTCTCAAATTCACTCAGTGTTATATGTGTTACATTTATATGTAAATATGCATACACAGTGTTTGTAACCTATTACTCCTAAATCCCACATAAATTATCTTACTCACAATATTCCCATCCTCCACCTCTTAACAATGGAAAACAAATTAAAATACATGTTTTTGATGTGATCTTTTTTCTCAAAGTATACAAATAATTAGACTTCAAATTTTGCCATAAGCCATCTTTTAGCTTGAATACATATAAATATGTAGTGTGTGTATGTTGTGTGCCTGTGTCTACACATATTTTTATATACTAATTTTAAGCAAAGTAATTTTTATTACAGCCAAGAATATTGTGTAATTGTCAAGAAACACACTAGTGGTAATGCTGAATTTCTGGCAAAATAATATGTGGTTGTTATTTTGGTCCAAAAGACAAGACTGAACAAAACAAAGCACTGAGGACAGATTCAAGATCTGGGTCTTGCCGATGGTAAAAAACAAAACAAAAACACAATAAAACATTTGGGTAAAATCCCCGAAGTAAAATGATAACTGACCTATAGCAAACATGGAAATTTCATCTTGCTCTGTGCAGTGTTGTAAGCATATGGATCTTATTTGTTTCAAATCAAATACTTTTTGGCACATTCCCCTTCCCGTTTTTAATTCAGAGTTTCTAATTTTTAAATAATTAGAAGAAAATATACTTGCAAAGGATTCCTGAACTTCTACATACTTGGAAATCATATAAATAAACACACTAGCCCAAAGTCTCACCATTTCTACACAAAAAAAATATTTTAGCTCTATATTTTATTTTTTGCAAGAAACTTTTTTCCTCATCACCATTTATCCCCTCTATGCCCTCATCTACCTCCAGCTCCCCCTGCTCCTGCTCTAATTCTAATATTTAGTTGCCAAATCCTGCACATTTACTGTGGACAATGCACTAACTCCATGGGCCCACCAAGCTGAGCATAATGATTTAGGTCAAAGATCAGCAGTACAATCTCAATGTGAAGGTCAGCATGGCTGGATGGCCATGTAAAAGTCTGTTGGTTTTTGCAGCTATATGTATGTCACAGACACATACAAACAGGGCATAAGAGTACTTGCATTCCCTATCCCTACTCATCCATGTCTCCTGGTTAATAAAGCTAATTGAGGAAATGGAAGAATACCCTGCAAGTAAAACAAAGGCAGAAAATAAGGCAGAACAGGTATAAAGGTGTTGGTGGTGATTGTATGTGTGCATATGTGAGGAGAGGTAAAGGAGGCAGTGAGGAAACCCACAGTACACCAAAGGGACTGAGAATCAGGAGAGTGGCAGGAAGCTGCACTGAGTCAGTGATTATGTGTGAGAATGCCACATTACCCAAATTTTCCTGCCATGATGACTTCTGGATCTAAGTAGTCTGGTCATACATGATTCTAATGTTTATGTATTTAGGTGGTATGCCACTTAATATAGAAATGGGCCCCTGTTCTGGCAGAGACAGCTTTTTGAGAATGGTTAGAAGATTCTACTGATGTGTAACCACTCAGGGTGACTCTGAATCGAATAATATGACAAACACTTGGAAATGAAGATGACAAAAATGCAAATGCTATTTTTTGCTTTGATTAAAACTAAGAAGAATGGCCAACTCAGAACTTCTGAGAATCTATTGTACGACACATAGGCTTTAATGATTTGGCTTTGATCACTTAACAGTTAAGTCTTTACTGAAGAGAAAATCAAACTCCATTGGGTAAGAACTTACACTGATAATTTAAGTTGGCAGTGAAAGGTTCCTAAATTGTTCTCTGAAATTAGTGGGAAGACTCAGTCTACATAAATGAATACACCCAGACACACTTGCAATAGAGCACAAAGTGGTATAAAGGAATCTGTCATGTACAAATTGGAGTACTGAAATCTCTCTTTAGAATGAGAATTATCTATGAGGGGATTCTGCATCACATTCTCAAGCATCACTCTCAAATTCCAGCTTGGGTGTACAGTAGGTCCTCAGGTTACGTCGGAGATCCGTTCCTACGGCGTGATGTAACGTGATTTTCGCCATAAGTCAGAACCCACCTACATAAGCACCTACGTCACTCACATGGAGGACATACACAGCAGTAATGAAGTGAAACAGTAAAAAAAATTTAAAAGAAAGATAACAACTCCTGACCTTTACTTGTGGTAAATTAATAATAAAAAAACATAAAGCACATATGTACATACGTCGAAATGACGGAACTTTTTTTTTAATAAATAAATGGGAGATGGCAAAGTAACCATGAAACGATGTACGTCGAGTCTGACGTAACCTGAGGACTGTCTGTAAATACAGTATATTAATTTTTTAAAAACGGATCAATCCTATAGTAATGTTTTACACCATTCAGTATTAGCTAAAGGATCCACATAATCTGAAAAGGAATTCTTTGCAGCTATAATATCATTACCTCTTTACCTATAATAAGCAGAATAAATAAACCAATGTATCCGTCCATTACAAGACAAAAGATATCCAGGTTTCTAGACTCTTATTTTGATGACTCTTTAAAAGATAACAAAACTGGATCAAATAGAACGTAGATGGAATTTTAACTGAGGCCAAAATTTCAGAAGCTTTTCTAAAATATTTAAATGGTTCTTATATTTAGGCAGAAAAAATTGCAAACCTATGTCTACTTGAAAAGAAGCTAATGGTCACTCTATAATATTACCGACACCAAGCAATATCTAATCACTTCCCCTTTCTAATTCCATTTCATCATCCTTGCTCAGATGGGTTTCCAAACTGATTTTCAGTCACTTTTGAGACTCTCACAGTGACTAGTATATTGCTCTTTTATATGGCAGGTTTTCAATAAATATATTTATTGTTGTTA